GAACTATTCATACATTTATTTCTGAAAGATTACAAGCAGAAACATTTTTTTTTAAATCAGGGAGCGTAATAATAAAAAACAATCCACATTTAACATACAGTGTACTTTTTGGAAAAAGGTCAAGTGCAAACACAATAATAATAAAACAGAATTAACTGTGCAGAAGATATTTTACTCTTTATAGCACCTGATTACTCTGGATTTCCTTTAAGGAAACTTCAGTCAAAAGGAAAAAAAATCAATCATCCAACTATACCTTTCTCACTCCTCTGCACCAGGCCAGTTGCTGAGACAAACAAGTTCATTAACATTTTCAGATGACAAAGAAACTCTCTTTTTCTGTACAACATGACCGGCAAGAGAAACTGACCTTTCACAAGGGAAAGACGTTGCAGGTGTAGCCAAGTACTTCTGTGCAATAAAGGCCAGTCCTCTGTATGCTCCTGTGTGTTTGGACCACCACTCTAAGGGGCAGGCATCTGTACTGATAGTGGGCTCCGTTTTGTAGCAAGACAAAGTGTTCTCAAATGAGTTTTGCAGCCAGTAGGGCACACTTTTTCTTTGGTGGCTCTGATGTTGTTGCTTCCAAAGGTTTCTTTGCAGCATCCTGGCTTTCTTTAAGCAAATTAAGGATTGAGACCSACACCTCATCCCTCTCAAGTCTGGGTATGCTCTTGAGATCTTTGAATCTTGGATCTAATGCAGTAGCAATCTTCAGATATGCAGTGTTGGCATTTTGCTTACGTGTCTCCAGGTCTGCTTTAAATGTAGACTTGAAACTGACCACGTAGGCAGGATCATCATCTGAGCTGTCCATCACCCGAGAAAGATGGCAAAAAGCAGGTAGGACAGCAGAGCAGGAAACATACTTTTGTCCTCCGAGAATTTCAGTCACATACCTGTAACAACAAAAAGTCAAAAATATTTTATTCAACTCCTATTGCATTTACTTAGCTAGCATAACCTGTCTTTTACATATATGGTTTATTAACACAAACATTTTTTTTCTTTAAACAGGAAATTATAAATAATATCAAGTAAAATTTACCTGCAAGGCTCCAGGAGTGTTTCCAACCTCTTCAGTTTGTCCATTTCAGCTGTAGTTGGCATGGACATCTTGGTCTTGTGTGTGATAAGGACTTGTCTCAGCAGCTGCTCATTTCTGATGACACTTTTGATCMTGTTCAGTGTTGAATTCCATCTGGTAGGAACGTCTTGAATGAGTGATTCCTTCTTTTGTCCATGTTCAGTTTGTTGTKGTTCTAACTCTGCAGCATTTGCTGGGCTGTGTTTAAAATGGCCCACAACTTTTCTGCATTTGGCCAGGACATTTTCAAACACACTGTTCTGCAGAGACACTGTGACAGATCGTTGAAGACTGTGTGCCACACAGGGTACGTATTCAAATGGCAGATGTCTAGCAGCAGCCACCATGTTTCTTGCACTATCCATGCTAAGTGTGCTGACTTTATTTGTATTGTTCCATTGCTGGGCAACATTAATAAAATGTTCTGCACATGTTTCAGCAAAATGTCTCTCTCCTGTTTTCATTAYTGTCAGGGCATGTGACTGTAGCTTCCACTGTTCATCAATAAAATGCACAGTAACTCCAAGGTAGTTATGATTACCCAGCGATGTCCAGTAATCTCCTGTGAGAGCAAMTGTTGTTGCACTTTGTAACGCTGTCACTTTTGTAGCTCTCTCTTTTTCATATAACTCGTGAATTTTTCTTTTGATGGTTTGCCGTGAGGGAGGCTCAAAGGTACTGTCATTAGTTGCAGTCCTAATGACGTCACACAGACCGGCATCTTCCACAATGCTAATAGGCCTGCAGTTTGTAGCTATCCATTTTGATATAGCATTTGTTAGCCTATCTTGCTTTGGTTTATCTACCTTTTGTCCACATGCTGCATTCAGCCTTGTCTGCAGAAGCCTCCCTCCACTGTTTGTTGCAGCTTCTGGTTGGTTAGCATCGACGGTGTGTTTTGAATTTAAATGGTACTTCAGGCTCGAAGAACTCCGRTGGTAGGACAGTTCAATGCTGCAGTGCTTACAAATACCTTTCGTTTTATCCAAACTACCGTCGGGAAGGGTTTTGAAATGAAAGTGACCGTGTAAAATTCCAGTACCTGTCTTTGAGTTTCTGTCCATGCTGCTAATTTTCTTGGTTCATGCGTGCGCATCGCTATAAGGCCACGTATCAACAACAAAGGCTCTCATTGGTTGAGACGTGTTGCGATGGCTTTCAGCAGCCAATAGTGATCAAGATCCTGCTCCCCATGAGAAACGGTTTGTGTGCATGTGTGTATGTGTGTTGGTCTGTGAGAAACGAATCTAACTGCGTTAACGTGCGTTAAAATAATTATCTCCGTTAAGCATTGGCTGCGTTAATGTGTTAACGCGTTAACGTGGCCAGCACTAATTATATATATATATATAT